GGCCCCAAGACAATGAGCGTCCTCGTAAGAGACAGAAGAGAGACACAGACACAGAGGAGAAACCATGTGAAGGTGGAGGCGGAGACGGGAGGGACGCGGCCACGAGCCCAGGAATGCCTGGAGCCTCAAAAGCTGGAAGAGGCAGGAAGGACCCTTCCCTGGAGCCTCTGGAGGGACTGTGGTCCTGCCCCGCCTGGATCTCAGCGGCTCAGCCCTTCCAGGATTTCACCAGCCTTGCCTGCTGGATCTCAGCGACCCTACCTTGCCTGGATCTCAGCAGCCCTGCCTGAATCTCAGTGGCCTTTCCCTGCCTAGATCTCAGTGGTCCTATCCCTCCTGGATCTCAGTGGTCCTGCCCTGCCTGGATCTCAGTGGTCTTGCCCCACTTGGATCTCAGGGGTCCTGTCCTGCCTGGATCTCAGTGTTTCTGCCCCTTCTGGATCTCAGGGGTCCTGCCCCTCCTGGATCTCTGCGGCTCTGCCCTGCCTGGATCTCAGTGGCCCTGCCTGGATCTCAGACTGTGGTCTGCAGAAGTGGAGGAGGAGAACTTCCTGCCGCGGGATGGCCCTGGTTTGTGTGGAAACTTCTGCACAGCCGTCCTGGGCATCGCTGCTTCGTAAATTCCTTGACTCTGGAGTTTTGGTCTTCAGACAAAAACAGGATCCCGTTCTATTGCTTTAGGCCCTGTGCTATGGCAGCCCCAGGAAATATGCCCTCTCACTTGGATGTGGAGATCCAGAGGCTGAAAACATGGAGCCTCGAAGGAAATGTACCTTGTGGCTGCAGAGGAAGAAGTCACCTCCGACCCCCTCTGCCTGGCTGCCGCCGCCCACGTCAGACAACCCTGTGGGCCCCAACGCTCTCACAGGTGGGGCTGGCTTACGTGGGCAGGTCGGCCCCCCGCGTATCCACGTGTTGCCGTCTTCCATGTGCATGTGTCCCACGTGCGTCCCCGTCTCTAGTGCTGTGCTCCGCACGTCCCGTGTCTACCCCGTGTGTGCCCTGCATGTCCCACGTGTCCGCCCGTCTCACGTATTGTGCCCCGAGCGTCCCGTGTGTCTCCATATCCCGTGTGCGCTGCGGGTTGCATGTATGTCCGTGTCTCACGAATGCCCTGCAAGTGCCACGTGTGTTCCTGTCTCACGCGTGCACGTCCCGCGTCTCCCGTGTGTGTCCCGCAACCACAGACCACTCCCGGAGACAGGAGAGGTGAACGGGAGAGGAAGGCGGTTTTAGGCATCGGGCCACAGTCCCGGGGAGGCGGCCATGGCCAGTGGCACCAGCCAGAGCTGAGTACCCAAGGGGCCGACGCTCGTGGGCCCCCTTGTCCCACGCAGGCCTCAAGCTCACCGTGGTCATTGTGCCGGGCCAGGTCCTGGGAATCGATAAGAAGGTCGTGGTCCGTGTCCAGCTCCCAGAACTTGCAGTAAATCACATAGAAGTGCTCGTACGAGAAATACTCTGTCAGCTGGTTGATGTCTGCTTCCTCTTCCAAGA